CAAAATGTCCGTGGTCGTTCGGTGTTAAACCACTGGCGGAGTGCCATTGGAAAAGGGCGACCTTTCATCTTCGTTTTCGAGGAATCACCCACTCTGTGGCGCAACCTCCTCAGACGCAAGTTCGATAAGCTCGGCGGGGTGCTCCTCACCAAGAATGGGTTTATCCTCACAAACATCGGCAAGCTTGTGGAGCACAAGGAGCAGCTCGAGAAATTGACGGGCGACCTCCTCTTCCAGCGCTTGGTGGCGATGCTTGAGGATGTCCTGGACGAGACCTTTGTGCGCGAGGCCCATGCCGCTGAGGTTGGTGAGCCCGAAGTCGAGAATGAAGAGGACGAAGATGGGGACTTTGAAGAGGAGCTGGGTGGCCCGGAGCCTAGCGAGGAACTCAAAAGACTGGTGATGAAGATGCACCAAAATACAGGGCATTGTTCAAGGCGGCGATTGGCCCGCGCCTTGACGATTTCAGGGGCGCCGGTAGAAGCAGTAAAAGCGGCGCTGCAACTGGAGTGCGATGTGTGTAAGGAAAACGCCCGACCACGTACTCGTCCACCAGCGTCGCTACCCCGAGTGTCCCAGCCCTTCGACCGCGTTCATGCGGACTTGGTAGCGATCAAGGATCGCGCCGGTCAGAAATTCTGGGTGACACACTTTGTCGACATCGCGACGAGGCATCAAAGTTGCTACATCACAGAGAAGACGGCCTCGGACGTGGTCGGAGCCCTCAACGAGTTCTGCAAGTCGTATGGGGCCCCAAAGACATTGGTGACAGACTTAGGCCCAGAGTTCACTGCCCAGACCTTTAGTGAAGCGTGCGCGTTCCTGGATATTTACCATTCCACAACTCCAGTCGAAACACCATGGCGAAATGGAATCGTGGAAAGGGCCGGAGGCACGTTCAAAACTATGGCAAAGCATCTGGTGACAGAGTTTTCTGCGGTTGGGTACGCGGATATGGAACTGGTGGTCACAGCATCCACCGAAGCGTACAACTCCGACATCAATGATAGTGGTTTCAGCCCTTCGCAGAGTTTGTTTGGACGTGCGCCTCGAAAACTTGGCGATGTCTTGGGACTGCGCGGGCGATTAGCCCAACATGGCCTCATATCCCGAGATTTCAGCTTCGAAAGGCAAGTGGCCATGAGAGAGGCTGCGAGAGTTGCAATGGTGAGGCTGCATTACAGCCGCTCCTTGCGACGCGCCCTCTTAGCCAGAGGACGGGTTCCCAACCCTGAGGAGTTGGAACCGGGCGAGATCGCATACTTCTGGCGAAAGCAGAAGGTGGCAAAGGGGAAGGTGCTCACTGAACGATGGCATGGCCCCAGTTTGGTTTTGACTTGCGAAAAGAACCAAGGAATCCCTGTTTCCTACTACGTAACTTTCAAGGGATCAGTTACCAAGGTGGGTGCCGAACACATTCGTCGAGCATCGTCTTTGGAGCGACTCTCGGCCACGGATTGGGAAGATGCTCTACGTGAAATTTCTCAGGCAACCGGCGCGCCTTACGCGTCCGAGGGCCAAGAGTCTCCAAGCGAAGAGGTGGAGGCGGAGGATGAGCTTCGAGAGCGTCCGCGACCGGCTCCTGGAGAAGCAGTCATGGTAATGCCGGTTCCTGTGCCGGCCCAATCCTATGGTGACAGAGCCGGGGAAGATTCGAGACGATCTTCACTTCTCTCTAGTGGATGGGACCCGACAAGCCATGGAATATGGAGCCGCAAGAGGTCTAGTGCCGAGGCTTCTGAGGGAGCAGAGCCCGGTGAGGGAGCACAGCCGGATGCGACAAGACTGCGCACCGCTGACCCCGAGGACTCATCATTGGACGCAAAACTGGACACCGTCCCAGAAGTCCCTGAGACTCAGGCTGCGCCAGAGGGCGCGCCGACTCAGGAGAGTCAAGCGTCTGCTTTGGGTGCGCAGCTGAGCGCCCCAAGTGGAAGCTCCTTTGTCCCTCTGCGGCTGGGAGACCGGACCATTAATGTCTTAACAGCCGCCACAGAGTCACAGCATCCACTAAAGCAACTTGCTTGCGACGTGGCAGAAGACATGAAGAATGGCAACTGGTTTGAAGCCCCTAATGGCTCGTGGGCTGGACATTGGCCTACGCCCTCTGAGGACGTGCGTGCAGTTTTAGAAAGGCGAGGCCACTTGATGAACCTAGATGCCACCGAGTTTGAGGTCTTCCTGGCAAACGTTGGAAAGGAGCTGAACTGGTCCAAAATGAGTGAGGAGGAAAGGCAGCTCTATCAAGCGGCAGCTCTTGAACAGTGGGAGAAATGGGTCGAGAACTGTGCCCTCGAACCGCTGACCATGGAACAATCCAATACAATCCGCGCGGAAATCAAGGCGGGAGCAAAGCACAACCTGCTCACTCCTCGGTTTGTCCTGACAGACAAAAACGCCCCGTTGAGAACACCGGGCAGCGATTTGCCTGTTAAGGCAAACGCCCGTCTTGTTGTGCCTGGATTCAGAGACAGGGCACTGTTAGAAGGTCAACTTAGAACAGATGCGCCAACGGCCAGCAGATTGGCGCTGCATCTCTTGCTGACCATTAGTGCCTCGAAACCGAATTGGGCCATGATGAGTGGAGATGTTCGGGCCGCCTTTTTGAAAGGCGACCCTTATGTCACAAGGCTACTGTTTATGGATCAGCCTAACAGGAAGCGTGGCCCGACGCTACCCGTAAGGCCTGGGATCCTGTTTAAAGTTCGAAAGGGGGTGTTCGGACTGGCGGACGCCCCAAGGGCTTGGTACGAAAGGCTTCTGCGTACCTTACGTGCTCGCGGATGGACACCTTCTAGTATAGACGGTGGGCTCTTCTTCAAGTGGAGTCCAGAGGGCGTCTTAGAAGGAGTCATGCTGACGCACGTGGACGACATCCTTGTGACTGGGAATTCCGAGGCGGTCAAGAGCTTCCATGAGATTGGAGCCGAGCTGGGATTCGGCTCCATTTCAAAGGACAAGTTCACCTTTTGCGGAAAGAACCTGGAAAAGCACGCCAACGGCGAAGTGACGGTGAACATGGTTGAATACCATCGTAACCTCCACATCCCAGTTGTGCCTCGTGAAGCCCGTAAGGACTTGTCAAGAGCTTTGAACCCTAAGGAGTTGCGCGAGCTTCGAGCTTTGAATGGCTCTCTACAATGGCTAGTCGCCCAGCTAAGATTCGACGTTGCTTTTCGCCTTTGCGAAGTTCAGGTGGCGAAGCCGACGGTGGCTACCTTGCTCAAGGCTTGCAACCTCGCAAGGGACCTCAAGGGTGACTCCGACTTTGTCCTGACGTTCCGCAACACAAACTGGCAAGAAGGTGGGCTGGTTGCTGTGTCAGACGCCGCGCTGGGGAATGTCAACTCCGACGGCAGTGGAGAGGACCCGAAAACTTTCTCTCAAAGTTGTTACGCTGTGCTCATTGGAGGGCCAAAACTAGTTGAAGGAAAAAGAGATTCCTTTAACTTGTTAGATTTCCGGTCGCATAAGCTCCAGCGTGTGTGTCGCTCCTCCTACGGAGCAGAGACGCTGGGCGTTGAAGAGGCTTTGGATGCCGCAGAGCTGGTGAGATGTCTGGTCGCCGAGGCACGTGGCACCGACATCTTGAAACCAGGAGGGCAATTCGCCGTATGTACGGTGCCTCTTACAGTCGTGACTGATGCAAAAGACACCTACGACAGGGTGTCTAAAGACACTGGGTTTGGTGCCCAAAAGTCCTTGGTGCTGACCCTAGCCCTTCTTCGACAGCTTCTTCGGAGACCGCAGACGTGTATCCGTTGGACTGACACGGCCAACATGTTCGTTGATGCCGGCACAAAGGCAATGGATTGCGGTCACTTGAAGCGGGTGATCTGCAATGGTTCATGGTCAATCGAGTACAACACAGAGTTTGTAAGGCAGAAGGTGAAGACCCGAAAGGCTTCCACACCACCTCCAGTTCCTGAAGACGAGGAACTCCCGGGAGAAGGACTGACTGACGCGGACCGTGAGCTTAGACAGTTCTTAGAGAACTTCGGCTCAAAGCCTGGCTGGCACTTGGTAGGTGAGGCTCCTAAGCAAGTTTGTGTACAGGTTGCTAGGGGAGCTAAATCCTACAGAAGCCCTGAGCCACGCAAATCCTCAAAGGATTTTCCATATCGAACCACCATCGGGAAATTCCTGCTTGATAGTAATCGAATGGAATGGAGAGTGCTTGAGAAGGATGATGATGTCCGAGTTATGGAGAAACCCTACTCCAAGCTCCCTCGCGCTCCAGAACTTTTGGTTAGCTTGTTTAGGCAGGATCCCGGAAGTTCGAGCGACAAAGATTTTAGATCCGTGTGAAAGCTGTGATTGCACATCGCTCGATCCTTCCGTGATTCTTCGACCGTGGCTCTCAGGGCCCTTGAGCTCTTTGGCAGCTGGTGCTAAAGAAGCTGGTGCAGATTAAGGTTTGCTCTTGGCCTCTTAAAGAGTAGACCCAATCCCTCTAGCTTTCGCAAAGGGTACCTTGTTCAACTTCTTCGACGACTTCCCGATGGTAGTCCCGACAGAAGATGGTGACCAGGTAAGCGGCCCGTGCTCAAGGGTTTGGTGGTTTCGGGTTTAGAGTTTACCCATCACGAAGCTTCGGGTCTTTAGCACCCTGCGCCCAACCTGTATCAACCCTCAACCTGACACCCCAAAAATCTGCAGGGCCGGACACCTGCGACCTGATCTCCGTGCCGCGAGAGAGAAACCCAGTGGTTTTGACTTCAGCCAGTCGCTGCAAGAGTCGATCCGCATCCCAAGTACATCGAAAACCCTAAACCCTAAGCCCTAAACCCTAAACCCTAAACCCTAAACCCTAAACCCTAAACCCTAAACCCTTCTCTCCCACTTCAGCGTGCCGCCAACCCAGCAAGTTCCAGAACCTGAGATCCGAAACCCCAAACCCCAAAATCCCAACCTGACGTAAAAATTTTGAACCCCAAACCCTAACCTGAGATCCGAAGCCCGAAACTTTGAAATTCACTTTCTGCAGCTGCAAGCAAAAGGCACCTTCTTGCACTTTCCCGTCGTGCCGGTCATCAGGCGGGCTTTTGGGCTTTAGAGGGTTTAGGATGCAAACGCCCGAAGCCCCACACCCTAAACCCTAAACCCTAAACCCTAAACCCTAAACCCTAAACCGTAAACCCTAAACCCTAAACCTTAAACCCTAAACACCTAAACCCTAAACCCTACATTCTAAAACCTATACCCAAAATAACGGAAGACTGTTGCAGGTAGTTGAGCCATGACGGGATGAGGCCACATTACCGCCACCTCCTGAAGAACAGCGCAAGGCTTGCTGGCTGGTGGGAGTTTAATTTGAAGATGTTGGGGGGCACAAACACAATGCTGGCGATCGCGCGGCAGTTGAACTGCGGAGGCATTGTGTTCGCGAGCTCAACTCCGCAGCGGACATGTTCAGATGCAGCTCAACTGACATCCTGCGCAGAGGCTGTCGCGAGGCACTTGGCAAGCCTTTGGTGTTCGTAAAAACAAGAGCGCATTACCTTGCAAGCTTCTTGTACTCATGATGGTCAAATCCAGGCATGCCGACACTGACTGCATGTGTGCCTGAGACATCCACTGATTTTGTCCGTTCAAGGGGCTCGGTGTTTCTGGAGTTCCTCTGCTCGATTTCTGAGAAATCCCGATCTTTCATAGAAATCGGTCACCTCTCATTCTAGGTCCCAAAACCCTCAGGCGACCCGAGGCGACGTGGCCGGGTAATTATGACTTGGGTTTTGCGTACCTACCCATACCTACCCATAGCCCGCCTCTAATCCCGAATCCCTAAACCCCTACACCCCTAACCTCTAAACCCTGCACTTCAACCTTTTAAAAACTAAGCCCCTAAACCCCTAAACCCGTAAACCCTTGGACCCCTATCCCCGAAACCCTACACTTAAACCGAATCCTCTCAAGCCCTCAAGCCCTACAAGTCAAACCCTAAACCCTGAACCCTAAATCCTGAACCCTGAACCCTGAACCCGAACCCTAAACCCCAAACCCCCAACCCTCAACCCTAAACCCTACCCCCTAAAACCCTCAACCCCAAACCCCAAACCCAAAACCCCAAACCATAAACCCTACACCCTAAACCTAACGGGTCTAGGGTTTTAGGGTTTAATTAGGGTTTTGGACCGCTCTGGGGTTGAAAGATTTGGGTGCTGGAGGGTTTGAGGGTTGTTTCCTGGCAGCCCAGCGGCACCCTTTTCCCTGTTTTTGGTTCAAGGTCCCCGTATAACCCTAAACCCTAAACCCTAAACCCTAAACCCTAAACCCTAAACCCTAAACCCTAAACCCTAAACCCTAAACCCTAAACCCTAAACCTCTCTTACCTATATATATTTAAACCCTATAGTCAGCAAATCGACCGGCCCTGACTGGCCCTGGGCCAACCCTTCCAGATCGACCGGCCCTGTTGGGCACTCAAGGGTCTGGCCTTGTCCTGGCCCGCGCGCGGGCGGCCTTGGCCTTGGCCTTGCCCCTTCCAGATCGACCGGCCCTGTTGGGCACTCAAGGGTCTGGCCTTGTCCTGGCCCGCGCGCGCACGGCCTTGGCCTTGGCCTTGGCCCTTCCAGATCGACCGGCCCTGTTGGGCACTCAAGGGTCTCGCCTTGTCCTGGCCCGCGCGCGGGCGGCCTTGGCCTTGGCCTTGGCCCTTCCAGATCGACCGGCCCTGTTGGGCACTCAAGGGTCTGGCCTTGTCCTGGCCCGCGCGCGCACGGCCTTGGCCTTGGCCTTGGCCCTTCCAGATCGACCGGCCCTGTTGGGCACTCAAGGGTCTGGCCTTGTCCTGGCCCGCGCGCGCGGCCTTGGCCTTGGCCTTGGCCCCTTCCAGATCGACCCGGAGCTGCTGAACCCTAAACCCTAAACCCTAAACCCTAAAACCTAAACCCTAAACCCTAAACCCTAAACCCTAAACCCTAAACCCTAAACCCTAAACCTTAAGCCCTAAACCCTAAACCCAAAAAGGGTATACCCTCATTATGTTCTGGTTACTGGGCTACCCAGTCTTGAAGGTTGTTTAAGGTTTCAGGGTTGTTTAGGATGTAAAGGGCCCTAAACCCTAAACCCTAAATCCTAAACCCTAAGCCCTAAACTCCAAACCCCGAACCCTAAACCCTGAACCCTAAACTCTGGCCCCTTGACAAAAGCATGGGGTTCCAGGCAGTTTGACATGATCGTGATCGAGGACAACATTGTTCCTAGGGCAGCTGCCTCGGCTCAGGTCTAAGGGTTCTTAAAGGGAGCTGGGGGGAGGGTTTAGGGTTTAGGGTTTAGGGTTTAGGGTATAGGGCTTAGGGTTTAGGGTTTAGGGTTTAGGGTTTAGGATAGTTTTTTATAGAGGGCTACTTCGGGGGTGTACAGGGTTGAGCGGTCTCAGGTGGAGGGGCTGACTCCCCGAACCCGGCACCGGGGTCATGCAACTGGAGATCTACAAAGCGCCCAAAGACCCTCAGCCTTGAACCCTAAACTTACAAAACCCTAAACCCTAAACCCTAAACCCTAAACCCTAAACCCTAAACCCTAAACCCTAAACCCTAAACCCTAAACCCTAAACCCTAAACCCCAAACCCTAAACCCTAAACCCTAAACCTCAGCCGCCGTAAGCCCTAAGTAAAAACTGTGGGGTGTGCTGGAGGTGGTGCTCTGGCTTCCGGTTAGGGTTTAGGGTTTAGGGTTTAGGTTTTAGGGTTTAGGGTTTAGGGTTTAGGGTCCTCGAAGGGGCGATTTAATTGGAAGAGCCAGCGTCTCAGCCGGTTGAGGGCCTACCGCCAACGACGACGAAGCGCTTCGCGCACTTCTTCGCCTTCGCCGCTACCTCCGAAATTCGAGGACGGGCAGCGTGAGTATCCCAGGAATCAGCCTCTTACGGTTTGCAGAGGTTGTCGTTCTCGAGCAATCGAGCTCAACAAAACTCACTGCTGCTCGTCTTGTCGATTAACGCGCGGCAGACGATATCGAGACGATTGCTTCTGATCTCGTGTCGTATCTCTTTACACGAGCCTTTCGAACTCTGGCACCCTTCGCTTCGCGGCTGGACCTTTTCGCCTTCGACCCTAAACCCTAAGCCCTAAACCCTAAACCCTAAACCCTAAGCCCTAAGCCCTAAGCCCTAAACCCTACACCCTACACCCTACACCCTACACCCTAAGCCTTAAACCCTAAACCCTAAACCCTACACCCTACACCCTACACCCTAAGCCTTTAACCCTAAGCCCTAAGCCCTAAACCCTACACCCTAAACCCTAAACCCTAAACCCTAAACCCTAAACCCTAAACCCTAAACCCTAAACCCTAATCCCGAAACCCTAAACCCTAAACCCTGCACCCTAAACCCGAAACCCGAAACCCTAAACCCGAAACCCGAAACCCTAAACCCTAAACCCTGCACCCCAAACCCTAAACCCTAAACCCTAAACCCTAAACTTTAAACCCTAAACCCTAAACCCTAAACTTTAAACCCTAAACCCTAAACCCTAAACCCTAAACCCTAAACCGAAGCCTTAAACGTTGATCCAGAGGGGGCCGGAGTCGAGGGCAAGGGCGGTGGTGGTTTTTGGGGTTCAGGGTATAGGGTCTAGGGTTGAGGGTTTAGGGTTTAGGGTTTAGGGTCTAGGGTTTAGGGTTTAGGGTTTAGGGTTTAGAGGTTTCGGGCTGGAGGGGTAGCAGGCAGCACTCACTATGGGCGTCCCCGAGACCCTTGCCCGCCCCCAATCGACAGCCTAAAGCTTAAACTTAAACCCCGAACCCTAAGAACCCGGAACCCAATAGCCCTAAACCCTAAACCCTAAGCCTAAAACCTGAACCCTAAACCCTAAACCCTAAACCCTAAACCCTAAACCCTAATCCTTAATCCAAATCCCTAAACCCCAAGCCCTGAATCCTACCCTTCGAAGCCCTAAGCCCAAATACTAAACCCCAGATGTGGCGTGGTTGGTAGAGCAGGACCCCTAAGCCCTAAACCCTAAACCCTGAACCCTAAACCCTAAACCTTAAACCCCACACTCCAAACCCTAAGCCCTATTCCCCCATAGATGCGCAGCAAACAAAAACCCAAATGCGTGAGATTCGGATCACTGCACTGAGGCAGACCACTGGGTCCGACAGCGTGACCTCTCGCGAATCATCCGGGGGCAGGAGGGGGTGGGGTTTAGGGTTTAAGGTTTAGGGCTTAGAGTTTAGAGTTTAGGGTTTGGGGTTTCGGGGGTGGGGCTGGTTGCGGGTTTAGGGTTCGGGTTTAGGGGTTCAGGGTTTCGGGTTCAGGGGTTTAAGGGGTTAAGGGGTTTAGGGGTTTAGAGGGGTTTAGAGGGGTTTAGGGTTTAGGGGTTTAGGGGTTTAGGGGTTTGGGGGTTTGGGGGTTTGGGGGTTTGGGGGTTTGGGGGTTTGGGGGTTTGGGGGTTTGGGGGTTTGGGGGTTTAGGGGTTTAGGGGCTTAGGGGTTTAGGGTTAGGGTTTAGGGGTTTAGGGGTTTAGGGTTTAAGGCCCGATAGTTGTCCTGAGTCCCTAAGTCCCAAACCCTACCCGTGACATGACTAAGGGGTCTTCCCCAAATTCAAGGTGAGGCTTCACGCTAGCCAGGAGATGTGTACCATGAGCATGATTGGGTTCATCTGACAGGCCAGGAAGCAAGCAACTTGACATCAGCCGGGTAGTGTTCCTCCAGTGATTGTTTGTTGTCATTAGAGGAGTCAGGAGGCAAGCATCATGAGCATCAGTTGGGTGGGGGCTGCAAAGCGTCTGGGGATTCCTGGACTCTGAGGCCAAAACACTACCCAGCTGATGCTCATGATGCTCGCCTCCTGGCTCGTCAAACGGCTCCAATCACTGGGGCAGTTTGTTCCGCAAGCGTCTGGGGCTTCGAAGGGCCGTGAGGCCAAAGCACTACCCAGCTGATGCTCATGATGCTCGCCTCCTGGCTCGTCAAATGGCTCCAAGGGGCAGTTTGTTCGGCAAGCGTGTGGGGCTCTGGAAACCGTGAGGCCAAAACACTACCCAGCTTATGCTCACGATGCTCGCCTCCTGATTCGTCAAATGGCTCCAATCACTGGGGCAGTCTGTTCCGCAAGCGTGAGGCCAGAAAACTACCCAGCTGATGCTCATGATGCTCGCCTCCTGGCTCGTCAAATGGCTCCAAGGGGCAGTTTGTTCCGCAAGCGTGTGGGGCTCTGGGGGCCGTGAGGCCAAAAACACTACCCAGCTGATGCTCATGATGCTGGCCTCCTGGCTTGTCAAATGGCTCCAGGGGGCAGTTTGTTCCTGACTCTCTGGGGGCCGTGAGGCCAGAACACTACTTATCTGATGCTCATGATACCCTAAACCCTAAACCCTAAACCCTAAACCCTAAACCCTAAACCCTAAACCCTAAGCCCTAAACCCTGGGCAGTTTTCCGCAAGCGTCTGGCGCTTCCGGGCCGATGGGGTCAGGGTTTCAAGGTGTAGAGTTCAGGCTTTAGGGTTCAGGTTTTGGGTTCAGGGTGTGGGGCTCAGTAACCCTAAACCCCTAACCCCTGACGCCTAACCCCCTAACCCCTAACCCCTAACCCCTAACCCCTAAACCCTAAACCCTGAACCCTAAACCCTAAACCCCTATAAACCCTGTAAACCCTACAACCTCTCAACCCTATAAACCCTTTCAACCCTATAAACCCTATAAACCCTAAACCCTGTAAACCCTAAACCCTATTAACCCTAAACCCTAAACCCTAAACCCTATTAAACCTAAACCCTAAACCCTAAACCCTAAACCCTAAACCCTAAACCCTAACCCTAAACCCTAAGCCCTAAACCCTAAACCCCGAACCTGCGAAAGGACGTAGGCCACCGCATCGTGGAGATGCTCAACGCCGACCGCACTCTGCGCATCGACATGGCTGGGGAACCCCAGAAGGGGTTTGGGGTTTAGGGTTTAGGGTTTGGGGTTTAGGGTTTGGGGTTTAGGGTTTGGGGTTTAGGGTCTGGGGTTTAGGTTTTAGGGTTTTTGAGTTTAGGGTTTGGGGTTTGGGGTTTGGGGTTTAGGGTTTGGGGTTTAGGGTTTGGAGTTAGGGTTTTGAGTTTAGGGTATAGGCTTGGGGTTTAGGGTTTGGGATGTAGGGTTTGGGGTTTGGGGTTTATTTAGGTTTTGTGGTTTGGGGTTTAGGACTTGGGTCTAGGGGGCTTCAAGAGAAGCGAATCTAAACTTCCGGGGTTTGAGTGTAGGCCTTTCAGGTCTCCGACCGTCTACCCTCAACCTTAAACCCTACACCTTTATACCATCAACCCCAAACCCATTTCTTTCCCAAGCTGCATTTCCTTTCTGCAACATGGATTGTCACAGCACACTCCGCGCCCCAGAGTGGTGCTTGCGGCAGACAGCGACATGGAGCCATGGAGCTGCTGAAGGGGTGGTGCCCTGGCGGTGCTCCTCCTTTGCTGCCCGAGGCGGCGGCAGGGCCCGGGCCCGGGTCGGCGGAGGTTGCATCGTCCTGAGCATGACAGGCAAGGCACCCCGGCCAAGGAGGCTGCGACCCCTGCGTCTGCAGGCGACAAACCAAAGCCGCCGGCCCAGGCGCGGAAAGCCAAGCCGGCCATGGATGCCGGTGGCTGCGTAGAGCTACATGATGCCAGCCTGAACTTTACCGCAGGCCGCTGCGCAGGCGCCTGCCACTGACAAGCATTGGATGTCCAAGCTGTTCGGCCCAGAGCCAGGGGTTTTTTGGGGGAATGTAAGGTAGCGAAATGCACTTTTCCCCCACTCAGAACCGATAGTTCAACCTCCCCCCCATGCCCCAAACTCTCGTGGGAACCCTAAACCCTAAACCCTAAACCCTAAACCCTAAACCCTAAACCCTAAACCCTAAACCCTAAACCCCCCAAAACCCTAAACCCTAAACCCTAAACCCTAAACCCCAAACCCTAAACCCTAAACCCTAAACCCCCTAAACCCCCTAAACCCCCTGAACCCCCTGAACCCCCTAAACCCCCTAAACCCCCTAAACCCCCTAAACCCTAAACCCTAAACTCTAAACCCTGCACCCGAAACCCAAAACCCAAAACCCATAACCGTAAACCCTAAAAGGCTAAAAAGCCCAAACCCTAAACCCTAAAGCCTATATACCCTATAAACCCCAAGTCCTAAACCCTATAAACCCTATAAACCCTATAAACCCCAAACCCTAAACCCTAAAAGCCCTAAACCCTCTAAACCCTATAAACCCTATACACCCTATACACCCTATAAACCCTATAAACCCTATCAACCGAATCAACCCTATCAACCCCATCAACCCTAAGCCCTAAACCCTAAGCCCTAAACCCTACAAACCCTCAACCCTGTGGAAGCCCGAAAACCCTAAACCCTGAACCCTGAACCCTGAACCCTAAACCCTAAACCCTAACCCCTGAACCCTAAACCCTAAGCCCTCAAGCCTAAACCCTAAACCCTACAAACCCTCAACCCTGTGTACTGAACCCTGAACCCTGAACCCTGAACCCTTAACCCTGAACCCTAAACCCTAAACCCTAAACCCTAAACCCTAAACCCTAAACTCTAAACCCTAAATGGAATCCCGAGGTCCTGGATCCTTTCCCGATCCTGGACTTCAACCCTCCCCAGGAGGGAAGGCACGCGGGCCTGTGGGCACGGAGCTCTTTTGACATAGGAAGTGTAGGGTGGTTTAGGGTTTAGGGTTTAGGGTTTAGGGTTTAGGGTTTAGAGTTTAGGGTATAGTATTACTTAGAATGTCCTAACAACCCTACTATGCTCCCCATAACCCACCTCACTACCCCTACTTACGAAGTCAGAAGGGGCTCCGAAACAGGGGCTTCGGGCTTGAGAGTCCAATGGCTTTCTTATGCGGTTGGGGTTTAGGGTTTAGGGTTTAGGGTTTAGGGTTTAGGGTTTAGGGTTTAGGGTTTAGGGTTTAGGGTTTAGGGTTTAGGGTTTAGGGTTTCGGGTTCGGGTCTCTTTGCATGGGCCCGGCCCTTTTTCTTCCTTTTTGTAGATCCGAGAACAAGCCCAAGGGCCCGTACTTCAGAACCCTCTAAAGAAGGTGAGGGACCATATTGAGGGCCCACGAAACTACCCTTAGAGGTTGAGGGTTTGAAGGTTCAAGGGCTGCTGAGGCTTTGGGGCTCAGGGTGATGAAAGTTCAAGGGCTCATGGGGGTTGAAGGGTTAAGGGTTCAAGGCTTTAAGGGTTTAGGGTTTAGGTTTCAGGGTTTAGGGATTAGGCTTTAGGGTTCAAGGCTTTAAGGGTTTAGGGTTCAAGGCTTTAAGGGTTTAGGGTTCAAGGCTTTACGGGTTTAGGGCTCAAGGCTTTAAGGGGTTAGGGTTCAAGGCTTTACGGGTTTAGGGTTTAGGGTTCAAGGCTTCAAGGGCCTTGTCAGTTCAAGGACAGGGGTTTAGGGCCTAGGGTTCAACTAAGCTCTGAAAACTCGCGAGAAGTGGGCACTGACCGGTCCGTACCTACCAGAGGCTCACCGGTCAAGAGGTGCGACAGAAGGGGGGTTTAGGGGTTTAGGGTTTAGGGTTTAGGGATTCTAGGAACAGTTGTGCTGGCCTACAGTAGGCCCCCGAACCCCCCCAAACCCCCAAACCCCAAAACCCCCAAAACCCCCAAAACCCCCAAAACCCCCAAAACCCCCAAAACCCCCAAAACCCCCAAAACCCCCAAAACCCCCAAAACCCCCAAAACCACCAAAACCCCCAAAAACCCCAAAACCCCAACAAAAACCCCAAACCCCCAAAACCCCAAACCTCTGAACCCTAAGCCCCTAAACCCCACCAAAAACTCTTAAACCCCACCTAAACCCCTCAAGCCCTCAAGCCTTAAGCCCTGAGCCCTTCACACTCTTTGGTCCCAGCACTGAAAGCCTTGCAAGTGCAGGTGGTATCGGAACAACAAGATCAAGGCAGGTGGTGGGTAGTGCTTGGCGCCACACGGGTTCACCCCGGCAACAACTTCCTAAGTACCCTACAGCCGTCCTAAAGACAACAAAAGCCTTAAACCAGAAACCTCTTGAACTCTAAACCTCAGACCCCGGGCCCCCGAAAACTCAACGCCTAAACACTAGACCCTTCAGCCTAAACCTAAACCCTAAACCCTAAACCCTAAACCCTAAACCCTAAACCCTAAACCCTAAACCCTAAACCCTAAATCCTGAACCCTAAACCCTAACCCTTCAGCCCAAAGTCATGGGATTCAGGGTACAGTGTTGAGGGTTTAGGGTTCAGGGTTCAGGGTTCGGGGTTTAGGGTTCAGGGTTCGGGGTTCGGGGTTCGGGGTTCGGGGTTCAGTGTGGGGTTCAGGACTTTAGAGTTCAGGTTCCAGGGTGAAGATTCAGGGTTTGGGGGCCACCCGGAACCCTAAATCCCTGCTTTTTTCCTCGATACACCAAAAACCCAAAACCCTGAACCCTAAACCCTGAACCCTGAACCCTGAACCCTGAACCCGAAACCCTAAACCCTAAACCCTAAACCCTGGAGATCCCCGAAGCTACCAGAGCCTGGCCCGAACCGTTTGGGGTTCGGGGTGTCCGGTTTTTGTGGGGACTTTTCTTAGGATCCGAAAGCCTGCGCCCCCCCCCCCCCCCCCCCCCCCCCCCCCCCCCCCCCCCCCCCCCCCCCCCCCCCAAAAAACAAAAAACAAGACATTGAAAGAATAAGCAAGAACAGGAAAACCCCCCAAACCACAAGCCCCTAAGCCGTAAGCCCTAAACCATAAACCCTAAAACCATATACCCCAAAACCCTAAAACCCTAAAACCCTAAACCCTAAACCCCAAACCCTAAACCCTAAACCCTAAACCCCAAACTCTGAACAAGAGGTGCCAGATATCCGTGGCTCCGAGGACGGCTGGGATGGCCAGGGCTCGCTGACTTGGAGGTTCATGGTACTTAGTAATCAAGTATAACTGGGTAGTTTAGGGTTGAGGGTTTAGGGTTTAGGGTTTGGGGTTTAGGGTTTGGGGTTTGGGGTTTAGGGGTGCTTATTAACCAAGTATAACTGGGTAGTTTAGGGTTTGGGGTTTAGGGTTTAGGGTTGGGGTTTAGGGTTTAGGGTTTGGGGTTTGGGGTTTAGGGGTTCGGGTTTAGGGTTCAGGGGTACTTATTAACCAATTAGAACTGTACTTATGACCCACTTATAAGCTCCCTTAAGAGCCCTAATATGGTCATAAGTACAGTTATACTTGGTTAATTAGTACCATGAATCTCCAAGTACGGCTTTGGGGTTTAGGGCGTTGGGGTCTATGGCGGATTGAATTTGGGTGTAGGGATTTGTGGGGCTTTTGGGCAAAAAGCCGCACCCAAAACTCTGCAGGTTTCAAGTTGTAGGCTCACGACTTAGCGTCTACGCTTTACGGCTTGGGGCTTTCGGGTTTCACGCTTGAAGCCCCAACTGAACTAACCCAACAGCCTTGAACCCTAGTTGAATCAGCCGACGATAACCGTAAACGCTAAACCTCAAGCCCCGAACGCACTGCAAGGAGGTGATGGAGCACTGTTTGGATTCCGGTGTGCACTAGGAACTTAGAGGTTTAGGGTTTAGGGTTTGGGGTTTAGGGTTTGGGGTTTCGTTGACAAGTGGGTGCTGGCGCGGCATGCACAAGACAAAAACTTCAGGGGATGACGGCAAACTCAAGATGAAAGTTCTAGGGTTCTTAGGGTTTAGGGTTTAGGGTTTAGGGTTTAGGGTTTAGGGTTTAGGGTTTAGGTAGTTTTAGGGGGTATGTAGACCCAGGTTCCCTAGCACCCCCCACTACTCCATAAGGCTCCCGAAGCTTCCCTAAGCCCAGGAACCCGAAGAAGGGACCCCTATGTTTCGGACCCCAAAAACCCCAAACCCCAAACCCCAAAAACCCCAAACCCCAAACCCCAAACCCCAAACCCAAACCCCAAACCCCGAACCCAAACCCCAAACCCCAAACCCCAAACCCCAAACCCCAAACCCTACACCCTAAACCCTCAACCCCCACATAGGATTTTGTCGGGTTTAAGTGACATTGCATCCTTTTCCAGGAGATTGCCGAGCTCGCAGTCTGCTGGGGCCAGGGTCTCAATGACAAGCCCCCCCCCTTGATGTGGTAGTAGGGGGGTTTAGGGTTTAGGGTTTAGGGTTTGCAAACCACCCATGGAACCCTGAAGCAATAAACCTGTAAAGCCACGAACGCCCCAGAAACCTTGAATTCCTAAAGCCTGAATCCCCTACAGCAAGCCCCCTAGGTTCAAGAATAGGCTCCCTCGAACCCTAAACCCCAAACCCACTCCCTTGTGAGGGCTTAGGTTTTCGTGGTTTAGGGTTTAGGGTTTAGGGTTTAGGGTTTAGGGTTTAGGGTTGAGGGCGCAACCGCAGCAGCGAACTCCAGGAGGATGGATGTCCATGAGGGTTGAGGGTCCAGGAAGAGGGCAACCGGAACTTTCAGGCAGGCAGGACTCCAGAACATGGGCTTGCAAATCGGTTAGGGTTGAGGAGTAGGGTTTCGGGTTTAGGGGTTTCGGGATGTTTCGGGGTTCTGCCTTAAGGTGTTCGGGGGTTTTCGGGGTTTTCGGGGTTCCCTGTTCCCTGTTCCCTCAACCCTAAACCCTAAACCCTAAACCCTAAACCCTAAACCCTAAACCCCAAACCCTAAACCCTAAACCCTAAACCCAAAACCCTAGACCCTAAACCCTTAACCCTAAACCCTAAACGTTTTCGGAGTTTCGGGTGTTTAGGGCCGGAGGTTCCCAGAGCAGAAGCCCAAAGCCGCTCCCAGGTGAGCGTGCCGGGGAGTACTACGCGCTGGCGGGCTACCTCAGCTTCGTGAACCCCAACTTCTTGGAGAGGACACCCATGGACCCACAAGCTCAGCCCTGAGCCCTGAACCCTAGGCCCTGAACCCTAAACCCTAAACCCCAACCCTCAACCCCAAACCCTCAACCTTAAACCCTAAACCCTAAACCCTAAACCCCAAACCCTAAACCCTAAACCCTAAACCCTAAACCCTAAACCCTAAACCCCCAAAACCCCGAACCCCAAAAAACCCTAAACCCTAAACCCTAAATGGACCCCCAGAACGTGCAGGATCACGCTGGGCCTGACGAGCACTGGGGTTGGGCACACCTCCCCCGCGGTTGGAAGCCCGGTCCGTTTGGGGTTTAAGGTTTTAGTGGTTCAGGGTTTTGGGGCTTAGGCTTGTTTTTGGGTTTAGGGTTTGGGGGTTTAGGGCTAGGGGTTTAGGATTTGGTTTTAGGGGTTTAGGGTTTTAGGGGTTTAGGGTTTTAGGGGTTTAGGGTTTAGGGGTTTAGAGTTTTAGAGGTTAGGGCTTTAGAGTTTCTAACCCAAGCTCCTGCATCAACAGCAGAGACTTCGTTTCACACCCGCCCCGAAGATTGTCAGCGGGCCTCCTAACATGGGCTTGTTTGTGCTTGCAGTGGGGAAACCCTAAACCCTAAACCCTAAACCCTAAACCCTAAACCCTAACGCGTAAACCGCGCGGAGTGGAGGGACTTGGTTTGTGGATTTGGGCGTGGTGGCTCTGGTTTGAG